GGTGAGCAACAGAGCTGTTTTTCTCTGACCTCTGACCAAAAAAATCTAAAAATGTAATTCAACAGATAKGTTTCAGGTCTGAAACAAAATGGATGTCAACAACAGAACATGAGACTAAAAACATTTCAATTCAGACTAAAATCCCTTTTTTAAAACATCATCAGCAAGTATGCTCAGTCATTCACTTTTCTTTCTGACATTTCTACAAATAGTTTTAATCAGATTATCAGAAAATGCTTTCATCCATTTGACCCAGTTCTACACAACTTGTTCTTTTCTGTTTAGGTTTGAGACAGATTAACAAATCAAAAATAAATTAAGAAAAACATGAATGGTCCTAAATGCTTAATATTCCTTCCTCTAGATGAAAAAGAAAATGTCAGCTGTAATTAAATACAAACCCCCTATAATAATGCATTTACACAGGTGGTGCAGTGTTACTTTTTTAAACAACTTTATTGTTATTTTCTTTGATTTAGTTTTTCTTGACACAGCTGAAAAGTTTAGATGTTCTCTCTGTGCGTGTGTAGGTTTTTCCCCGGTACTCCTGTTTCCTCCAACAGACCGAAAACATAAAAAACAAATTGTCCCTGTGAGTGAGAGAGTGAATGATTGTTTGTCTCTGCGTGACCCAGGGTGTACCCCGCCCCTCACACAGTGACTGGATATGAACATTGGTGACATTAGTGTGTGAAGATAATGGCAGGATGTTAACTGCTTGCAAAATGTAAAAAGAAATAACATTAAAATAAACAAAAGTAAAGTTGCACATTTGATCCACAATAAATGGTTATTTATTATTCTTTAATCAAAACTGTCGTTCAGTTTCAGAAGATTTAGTTCCGCCTGTAGTGGTGGTACACAATATATTTGTATTTCCTGCCTTTATGGAGGTGATGATGGTTTTGCTTGTGTGTTTATGGCTGACCCCATGCTTGTGTGTGTCTGTTGTGTTAGCTAGAGTTGTAAAGTAAGTACAAATATGTTGTTATTGTACTTAAATACAAATTTTGTTTATTTGTACTTTACTTGAGTAATTATTTTTCAGACAAACTTTTACTCCTTACATTTTCACACTATTATCTGTACTTCCTACTCCATACATTAAAAAAAGGTTAGAAGTATAAAGTCAGTTTTAATTTGGCTTGTTTTCATTCTGGCTTATTAGTGTGGTTTATTGTAAACATTATAAAACATAAATTAAATTGTGCCTCCTGGATAGAGTGAATTTATTTGTGGTTGGATGAGAAGTTTCTTTTTTAAATCACTTCAAGGGCACAGAGGTGC